GGTGGGGTGGCGAGAAAGGGAGGCTGGCGAAGGGTGAAGGGCGGGGGACGAGCGGGTAAAGGAGAGAGGAAACTGGAAGCTTAATATAAAACTTCATTTCGCAATCGGTGGCAGCCGGAGTGGAAAAGGAGAGAACTGACAGACAGAAAATTCCAGTTTCGTCGCGGGAAACGGTACCACCACCACCACCCCCAACCCGACGGGGTCCCATTTTTCTAGTATTAAGCTTACACCGAGATAAGATAAGAGGCGGCTGCGAAGTGTCAGCATACCAGCCTGCGAGAAACAGAAATTTAAGAGGACGAGGGAAATTCAGAACAGAATTCGTGAACACGAGGGAAATGACAATGGCTGTTCCGTGAATGTCTTGTAATGCGTTCAACATGGTTCTAGACACGTAGGACATTTGTTTTACCTTAACAAAGTGGGGGTTTCGTGGAGATTTCAGATCTTGTTTGATTTTTACTATTTTATGCTATCGTGTCTATTAACACTTTTAGCTCGAGATACTTCACGACTGGGAATATACGCTACTGGTCATAAGTACAGTAGACTCGCGTTAAAGTAGCTATCCTATGTGTTTTTCAATAAGGAACACGACGGTTCGAACAAGAATTAAATCCATAAACCGGAAAAGATCAACTTGCTCCAATTTCAAGATCTACGATCAAGTCTTTACGTTATCAACAAATATTCATATACCGTAACAACTGTACTACCATACGTCTTTTTAAACGTGTAACACGCCGGCTCATAGAGAAACCGTAGTAAAATTTATTGAATATTTCAAGTCGAGACGAAATCATGATCGGACGAGAGCTCGGTGTCACAGGAGGCGCGGGAAAATCGTCGATCGGAACGCGACACCACCCACCCTCCTCCACCCCATCGACATATTCTTCCGTGGAAGTTTTCGTTCGTATATTTCGTGGATCCTTCCTATATTCTTTCACGGCCTGGCGGAAAGAAGGGGGTCGCGGCGGGTTGCGGGGGCGGGAACGGTGGTGCGCGCGCGATGAAACTTTTAATAAATGGCGGAGTCGATATGAAGTATAGGACTTTGACATATCGTGTGTCTGTAATGTATAGTTAAATCTGGCGGCAGATGTGGCGGCAGCTCTGCCTCCCAAACCCCTCTCGCGATCTCTCGCTCTCTCGCCACTGCTCTCTTCGCTCCGAGCCATCCGCGCGCGCCCTCGTTCCCGTTTGCGAGCCGGTGTCGCCGCCCTTCCAGCCGCTGGCACTCGAAATTTTCGCTCTAACCCTGCGCGCCGCGATTCAATCTGACGGAACGGACCATCCGTTCGCGACACCGAGCCATACAAAAATTCATTATTTCCGTTAAAAATGTAACTGTGGAGTGTATAGGATTAATGGAGAATTGCGAAAAATTTAGTAGGTAATTGTTCTGCATCGTTGAAATTGAGAAGGAAGTTGTGAGGCTTTGAGTTATAGGCGACGTGGTACAGTGTTCCCTCGATGATTGCGACATGAACAACACGTTTTTCCCACCACTGGGTAAAGAGGAGGTAAACAGAGACTCGACTTCGTTCAAAAAACAAATTTATGTGGGGCTGAAAAATCTTCACCCTTGCCATGAATGCTCCGAAACGGACCCGAGTATGTCGTACTCATCGAGACATTACTGTAATTGGGTTTTGTGACTTTTGAAAATTGACTGGGTTATTAAAATTGTTTTGTCACCCTTGAAATCGAGAAGGAAATTATGAAGTTTCATTGTGTATGTGGCTGTCAGAAAAAGAATTGCAATTTGTTTTTCCTGCGTGAATAAAAGCTTACACGAAACTCTTCTCAATGTTTCTGATGCACCTCTAAATTTTCTGACAATTAATTTTATAGAATAATCCACTTAAAATAAAGTTCCATATAGTCTGACTCAAAATTTCAAATTAAAGACAGCGGTAAACTTGACCAGCCACTATTCTTTCCTCATGAACTGAACCTTACACACGACATTACAGAATAAAATTACAATAAGGATACCCAACCAAAAAAAGAATACAATTTTTCGTCGCTGTCAAGATTCCATGAAGAATTATATAACACAATTGTTCTTTTTCAGCGGGAATTTGAAAGCTTTCCATCACACGGGAGACCGAGGGAAGAATAAGAAACGGTTCATTTCCATTCCGGGGCGTAGGTCGCAGAACGAGGGTAGTGGCGCGAGAATAGATTTCTTTTTTTTCCTGTCCCGCTAAGCGATCGTCGAACTTTTCAATCAAACCGGCTGTCTAAATGAGAGCTTCTCCACAAAGCGGATCAGGGTAATCTGTCATCAAAACTGCCCCATGGCAAGTCGTCGTAGCACCAGCCGGCGCCCCCAGCAGCCGAAAACCGTTGCGACGACGTCACATCGGTGCATTCGACGCGCATCCCACCGGCACACTCGAACTGCTAACGGACTTACTGCATCGTTCCGTCACGTCCGTGAAAATTCGAACGATTCCCGCGACCATCACGGGAATATTTAAAACCGCGTAAATATACATTTGTATCATTCTATGCTTTATTCAATGGGTCGTGTCAATTTCTATAAACAAAGGTAGGTGATGACAATTTAGGTGGGACAAGGACAGTGACAGTTACTAGGTAACAGCTGGGTTTAGCACACGAATGATTTGGTTATTTATACTGACTCGTCTCGTTGGACGGACCATAACTACAATTTTATATTCTTAAATTCCAATGCTTTCGTAATTGATTCTGTAATGAAGTTAAGGCGGATTTTTTATCCACCCTGAAAATATGTTTCACTACCATTCGGTAAGAAATAATTACAATGAGTATAAATCAAGTTTTCCTTCGATCGACTTCGGGCTTCGGGCAAAAAACGAATTTACGAGAATCTGAAGCATTTCTTCCTATAAGATTATTGTCCTGGCGCGGACCCGAGTTCGGGACAATAATCGAGACGAGTCTGTATATCCCAATGGTGGGTAAACTGCGCTTCTAAAGCTACTCTGTGTCGTCCCGACAGAATATTGCCTTTCGTTGCCACTTTCCCCAAACATTTATATTAATAACCTATAGTAGTATAGTATGTACCAATATCAGAATATTTTATTCCTGCTCTTGACCATTAAAAAAATGTATGAAAAATATTCCACGTGGCTCTCATTGCCAAAGAACTCGCCCACCCCTACTACACCCAATTACAAACGTCGAGTCAGCCAAGCAAGTCTACACGACCGCTTCCACAAAAAAATTCCCAGTTCTTCGAATCGCCGTCAACCAGCTCGATCATTGTTATCCATCCCCGGCCATAAACGCATACCTACCCGCGACAGGGTCGCCTCCGTACGCAAGATCGAAAGAATAAGATTTTTACCTCTTTCATCGGCCGTTCCCCCCGTGCACGTAGCTTGAATGTGGTGTACATACCGCGTGGCCGAGCACGTGAGAAGTTTCCCTCTCCAGAGTGGCTCGGCGACGGTAGCGGCGCGCTCGCGCGTCCCCGCCCACAGTTGCGCCGTCGGGATCCATGACCGCCCAAGTCGGCCTCGTGGCACACCGGCCACGGAAAGTGGAGAGAGTCGGCCGGTCGCGCTGTCGCGGCGAGGAACGGGCTGTGCAAAACGGTTCGGTTGTGTGTTGTACCCTGCTGGTCCCCGTGGCCCTCCGTGTCGATCGCCGTTCACAGGCCACCCCGCAGCCCGCCTACGACGCCCGGAGGGCTGTGCCTCCGCCGTCGTCGCGATACCGTCCCGTCATTGGTCGAGCCCCGTGCCGCTGCTCCGCGCCGGGGTCACGTGATTCTCTCTCCCGCGCGCGTCCCCGGTTCCCGCGACTCGTGAACGCCGTCGCCTGGTCTTGCTCGGTGCGGACCCTATCCGGGAAGCCCCCTCCCCCTTGCCCGCGGCGCCAAGGCGAAAGAGGACAGCAGTAACAACAGAGACACGCCACGGAGAACACTGGAGGAGAGAAGCGAAAAAGGAGAGAGCGCCGGCGGTGGAAACTCGACAGAGTGCCGCCGAGTGGAACTCACCGAGTGTGTCTCCTACTCCTTCCGAAGCCACCGCGAACCCGTCCCTACGTCCTCCATCTTCTCTTACTCTGTGCCCCCTCCCTCTCCAACCGGTGCAACCCTGGTACCCCTTCCAAGGTTCCACCACCTCGATCTTCGTTTCTTCCCCACTCTCCGCTCTCCCCTTCATCGTCGCCGGTGCCGATCTCTTCGTCTTTCTCCGTCGTTGCCCTCCTCGGGACGACCTCCACCTCCACCTCCTCTTTCTCCACCTCCTCCTCGTTCGCTCGGCAAACGTACATCGGGATCCGTAGCCTGCCTCGCCAGCCTGGGTCCCGGCCGATCGGAACGCTCCTGGTAGCCGCGGCTCTACCACTCCGGTCCGGCGATCGTTCGCGGGTTTCATCGATCCAACGATCTCGTGTGACAGTGCTTCCGCGTTTGTGAGCCCGGTTGTTCGATCCACGCGCGTTATCCGAGAGATAGGTATACGAGAGTGTTCTGTGTGCAAAACCGGTGACACGCATGCAGTGAACATTCGGTGACGACACGGTGAATGTGGTGAACCATGGTTCCCGTCGCCCAGCGAGCAGAGCCCTAGTTCCATGGTAGCCCGGGGGTTCGAGTGGCTGCGATTCGGACCAGGAGCCTGGCTAGTGAGAGTACGAGCTGTGGTGTAGATGCAAACTGAAGTGAAGGAAAGAGAGGCTTCCGTTCGAAAGAGGTGTAGACATGTTTAGTGTATTGCAAACGTCAGTCCTCGCGTCAAATTGTTCCGTGTGTCGCGATCGTTGCAGCAGTGTGCGAGTAACAGAAGACTGAATTGTACCTAGTACCGGAGTAGCTATTCCCTGAACACTGATTCAAATATCCACGTGAGGTGATAGAGGATCACTAATTCTCTTCAAACTATCCATCGCCCAAAGAATCTCCCAACTTAAAGGAACCAATTTTCCAACCCTGTTACCACAACAGGAAACATTGAATAAGTAAGAACAAGCGTGTAGCTCGTTCCATGCGGGGCAAACCACAACCACTGCCACGCCAAGAAGAGGACACGGAAGTATCTGCTCAGCTGGGTAGCTCGGGCAACGTGCAGCAACCGGGCGGCGATCTTGAAGCGTTTGTCCACGAAGGCAAGGTGCTCGCGAGCCTGAAGACGAGGCCGACGACACCCGTCCTGGCGAACGACGGAGGGGGTGGCTTCTGGCTGGCCACGGTGGCCGCTGGGGCTGGTGCCCCGGCCGGGCTGCCTCCGCACGGAACCCATCATCCAGCCATGGATCCGACATGTGGGTCCGCGGAGACCGGGTTCATCAACAGCCAGCCGTCGATGGCCGAGTTCATGACCGCTTTGCCGCAACTGGCCGGCGACGGTAGCCTTCAGCATTCCCCTGGTACCGGGGGTTCCATCAGTCCAGGCTCCCATCATCCTAGTTACCATGCGATGATGGACCCCCATGGGGTCGCGGATCCATCCGTGAACGTGCCCGAGTACCCGTGGATGAAAGAGAAGAAGACCACGCGGAAGAGCAACCAGCAAGGTAAGACAGTGTCTCGATAATCGAAGGTTAGGAGTCAGAAAAAGGGATTTAGGTAATTGGAGACATTGGATGGCTTGTTCGAAGGTGTTTATCGTTTTGAACGCGGGGTTATGGGTGGTACCGGGGATATTAAACGGAGGTTAGGGGATGTTGGTTAGAGTTATAGGGGTCGGTAAGCTGGATGATGAGGTGTAACCATTCTAGAGAAGCCAAGGGGCTGTGTTTATGTTTATTTGGATTAGTCTGTTGTATAGGGCATTGATGTCTCTATGAAGAATTCAAATATTCGGAAGTGTAAAAGTGGACACTATGAAGTAATAGAATGAAATCTAGGAATAAATATTTCTGGGATTTTGGAGAATTTAGAGGGCGTACGGATTAGTGTTTTTCTTAGCATTACAGTTATTAATTAGAAATGTCGTTAACTTTCGAGGTTCATGGAAATATTTGTCTTCACATGAGTTTTTAAGTCACAATTTTCATTTCAACCGATTCGGTGAAGTGATTATTATAAATGGAAAATTATAAACGTGTAGCGAGATTTATGCACTTGGAACAAATTCAAGTGAGTGAAACAGAATGAAGTGATAATGTCCAATTGTTAGTCCACAAAATTACAAACACATTCGCGCACGATTTTATGAATATTCGTGTATCGTTCTCAGAATCAGTTTAACACGTTTACAACCACAGGCGTCAATATGTCAACGAAATTGTTTTCTATTAAGGTAAATTTACACTTTCACATTTTGGATGTGCATCGCGGATGAGTCACCCACACTCCATTCAATTCATCAAAAGTCGAGACTGACTCTACTTTCTTCACTGGTCACTTTGGATAGAAATGCTGATGAAAACAATCTTTACACCTTTCACTGTGGATGAATCATCCGCGTTGCAAACCTGTAGTGTGAAATCTAAATTTACCTTATCCATTATCAATTTTCATTACGGTTCACAAAGAACTAACAACCAGCATTATCCTGTTCAATAATAACTAAAAAAATCACAAACAATTTTATAAGACAACGCATCTCTTGTCAAAAGAATTTGTCTGTCCAACGAAAATCCTCCATATTTTTCCACCAATTACCACTGTCAAATACGGTCAATTTGTGTATTTCCCAAAAACCACACGACTTCATAAATCACCGCATCAAGAAGTGCCCTTCATCAAAAAAAAAAAAAATGTCCTTTCTCTTTATCAATTAAGACAGCCTCCGCATGAGAACTCGGAGTGCTCGTTTCCTCGTCACCGCAGGGGTAGAAAGCGGCTAAATTATCGTTCCAACGAAAATCCTCCATATTTTCCCACCAATTACCACTGTCAAACACGGTCAATTCGTGTATCTCCCAAAAACCACACGACTTCATAAATCACCTCGTCAAGAAGTGCCCTTCATCGAAAAAAAAATGTCCTTTCTCTTTATCAATTAAGCCAGCACGTGAGGACTTAGAATGCTCGTTTTCTGGTCACCGCGGGGGTAGAAAGCGACTAGAACCCAGGGCCCGTAGTCAATTAACGCCCAGGCGTGGATTCGGCGGTGTCTGTTTATAGCGTTGGGCTGCTGTCCCTCTGTAGCCAGGAGTGTATGTATATATCGTCTGACCGGCGACACATTGTGGCTCGCCGCGGGGCGTCCCAGTGTCCGTCGGGGCTAATGACAGTTCGTCCACGGCCCACTCCTTTTCCTCGAGGAAGAACCGTCCGCTCTCGCGCCGCCTCGGAGCATCTGGAGTTCGTCACGTGTGCGAAAACCACGCGGTTTCCCCAAAACCGCTGGTAAACAGGCTTCGGGGCAAATTATGATGTATCCCGTTTCGCGGTTCGTGAAGGTCCGTGAGGAGCTAGCCCTGTGGAGAATCGATGGCCGGCACATGCGGGCCAAACCGGAACCCTTTCAATGAGGATGAATTATTGTCTTCCGGGGTGATGGGGGGAGGATGAATCGCGTTCCCTTCTCTCGGTCACGATGGTGGTGTGTCTTCGCCGTGACCCGAGGAACTTGGCGCGATTCGTTCTGGTTTGAGGTTTCGTTTGACGTAGATTAGGCCTTTTCGACCGTTGAACCCAGAGGTGGTTTTCGGTCATTTCGGCCATGTGTTTATTCCAGGGGGTGGGTTTGACGATAATCTTTCTTTGACGTCTCGGTGGCGATGTGGAGTTCTTCTTGGCACATGGTTTCGGGATTCTTGAAATTTGATAATTGTTATAATAGTCTCTAATATGTGGATTGTGAAAGTTTAGGTGAATTCATAATTTTAGGTAGGGATGTTTAATAATTAAAATGGGACGTTGGCTTCCATTCTGTACTAGAAGCTTCGGTACGTTTGGAATGGCTAGAGTGTGGATTTTATGCTTTTATATTCTGTGGGACTCTGTGAAATACAATGGGAGACCAATCTATTGAACTATTTTTTTTCAAGGTTTCTATTTTATTCTTAATTCAATAAGGTATTTAAGAGAAGAAAGAAATTTCGATATTTGCTCTTGTCTTTATAAATTATTGGGTCATTCAGAAAAATTAGTGACGTTACAAAAGTGTCGTAATTTCCTTTTTACTGGACAAAAGAAAAATCGTTTGATACTGATGAACAGGTACTATTCTCCAGGTGTGAATTGTATGTGTTCACTGTATAAATTATGTCTGGCTCTTTTTTCGGTTTCTGTGAGAAATACCGATGAAACGTATGAACAGACGCGAAGTTCATTTCTATTAAACTTGTAAAGAAGTTACACTACATCGAGTAGAAAATTTGGATAGTATCCACCCAATTAATTAGACTTTGTCTCATCAAATAATTATTTAATCGTATGGTGATACGGTGACGGTGTTCGTGACGGTGTTCGTAACGGTGAAGGCTACGTGATCGAGAGACCAACAGTGAAGTAATACCTACATATAAAGTGATCACGAAAGAAAATTGTACGTCTTAATTAATACTGACATCAAAAGTGCCAAATTGTGCATCAAGAGTGACCGAGGCGACCCGGGGGCTAATCAAATAACATTAATGACTCAATACGTGACGTACGCAGTTTATTTTGATTTATACACCCGTAAGGATCAAGTCGTTCATCAAATTACCCGCGGAAAAAAAAAGCGCTAATCAGAGACCATCAACGATCGGCCAAGACAATTGTCCGATCTTTTGCAAACGTTTTCGAGTAATTACTCACGCATGAAGGATGAAAGAAGAAATTCCGTGGGTCGAGTGCAACAGTGTGTACATGGAGATCAAAATGACAATGGGAATCGTGATTGATGAATTGATTGCTTCGTATCTTTATTGATGTATGGCTTCCATCCAGGTGCTTCGAAGTTTTCCGGAATGGTACGCTGCTACTTGTTCGATGTTATTTTTGTTTTTTCTTCCGCAATTACTCCATTCTACCTTTTATTCGCCGAACAGAGTTGCTCGTTCGTGTGACAGATGTCACAACAGTTGTTCGATATTAATCAAGATCTTCGATGGGTTAACGATGATCATTCTTCCATAAAATAGTAGCCCCTTCTGTTGGAATCACGTCATTCAGACGTTCTACTGATTATAAGCCGAAGCCGATATTCTGCTTATCTCAGTCAGTCATGTTTGCAGACGATTCTCGTATATTCATATTATGATAGAGATCATCAAACGTTACCATTAATGCAAGAACATTTCCTCTATTTCATTATCTGACACTTTGCAGCCTTCCGGAACTTTACCTTCTTCTGTTCACTTAAATTGAATTATATATCTCCCGGGTGCTTTCTTTCAAACAATAACACAAAGAGTTTATTTGAGAAATTTTGATAATGGAGACAGTTTACTCGAAGGGAGCACCGAACAAGAAAAAACTTCGAAAAGGCCAAAAAATATTAGAAAACTATGGTTTAGACGCAACGACCTGTGTACACAAACATGTAAATGCACAACTCAGTTTGCGCAAATTACACTGTCCAACAAATTAAAACTTTTTTTCTGATCTGCAATATCCATTAGGAGATCCTTCAAGTTCCCCGTCCAGTTCACGAATCCGTAAGCAGAATTTCTCAATCCCCCTCAGTTTCTGCAAAACATTTTCCCCAAACAAAGATTTTTCCCAATAATGACGTATTACGTGAAAACCAAAAACGCCAGAAAGTTCAATTCGATCTTAAAAAATACAGGAGAGTTCCCTGCATACAACAGTGAATTTAGTTATTAAATTGTGTAATTCTTAATGCTTGTAAATAGCCGTGAAAGTTTAAAGAAGAGTTATTTGGAGATGGATATTCCAAATTAAAAATCGTCTTGAAAATATCCTCGATTACCTCAATCCCGCAACCTACGACCCCAAAAATCACACCGTCCATCCCGAAGACAGCCCCCGAATTCAGAGAAACGGCGTGTCCGTAGACGAGGGACCGTCGGTGTGTATACTCGATCGTTTCCCAGCAACTTGTTGGCTATTGTCAGCCCATCGAGGACCAATAAATCTGCCCCGGCGGAGGTCCGCGCGCGGCACGCTTCGCCGCGACAGAAGGTCGCATGTACTACGGCTTCGTAGCAGGCGCGACGCTATCGGAAGGGTGGGCAAGTTTATGGGGCCATCGGGGCCGACCGCGTCCTCCGACGATGGCCCTGTCCGTCGTCGAGCGTCTCTTTCCATTCAAACGGCCCATAGACGATACGATTTATCGTCCAACTAATCGTACAACATAAAGACAGATTCACACTATCGGTCAAAAATAGGGTCGGATCATGATCAATCTGAATTTCGACTGAATACAGTACTGTCTCGATGAGTGCAACGTACTATTATAGTATAATTTATTTAGTTTTATTATTTATTTTATCTATGTGTTTAATGAGTTTGAGTCCTAATGTTATAACAGTAAATTAAACTGTTCCCTAGTAATTTAACCTATTCATTCAAAATAAAATAAATACTATTAACTTATATTATTCATGGCAAGGGGAAAAGGTTTTTAGCACTTTATAAATTTGCTTTTTACCTGAAGCCCAGCCTCTGC